ATACAGAAAAGCAAACACATTTATAAAGGCCTTAAAACTGTATGGTAAATGGCAACATAAAAACCATTTGTAATATGTTTTTAATAATAAAATCGTTGCAACAAAGCTCTTAGCGTCTCTGACAGCCTTCCTCGGGCTCAGCTGAAATACAGGCTAAACACCTTTTGCTCACAACCAGAAACTAATCACGTGTTGAATAGGCTTGCCACTTCCATTTCATGACATAAAATGTAGGGGTAACCACACGTTTTTAAAAGTTATTCATCTTTTTTGAAAACTTTCACGGTGCCCGTTACATTTTCCCCTGTCATCTCCCTGGTAAGTAAAACAATTGCGTATCTCGCACTTGTTTTGCTCGCGCACTAGGTCATCTGCAGGTACGTGTTTACAGCTGGATTTCAGTATAATTTTCGAGAGGTTTACAGATAGTTTTTCAGCCGGAAGACGGTAACAGCTGGTGCTTAGCGATATGCTACTATTGTGGTGTTCCTGATTTAAGTACAGGTTCATTAAACTTGATTTGGTCACAGGGGAAAATTTTGCTTTCAATTTAGTCGTGTATTTGGTAGCGTAGTTGATCGCGTCATTGTCAACCCTAGCGCGCGCGCGGCGCTTAAACCATGCCTTGCGTGATGCGGAGAATGTGTGCGCACTAACAAAAGTAGGCACCGTCCTTAAGGTTATTATCGAAGAAAGTTCGAAATGTGGCGTTCTGCATTTTTAGGTGGCCATATCGTGCAACAAGCTATATGTAAGTTATACATTTTTAGTTTTATTTTTTGATTTCATTGAAGCCGCTCCAAGGGAGAACAATATGTATCCATACAATTTTAGTTGATGCTACAATAATGTTTCCAAAAATGTACTAGTGCGATGCAAAAGTGTTTAACCAATCAGATAACATATCAGCCAGTGTGTCTCTTACGCCAGCTCTTTCTCTCACAACAAGTGCTTCAGCAGTTGCAGAATTGACCAGTCAGGGTAATTTCGTCTTGTCCAGTTACTCGACGTACTTGAGTCAGGACGCTTCCTCGTCAATGAGATAGTCGTTAACTCTCTCCCTTTCTCCCTTCTCTCCTCACTTTATAAAAATTGCTTGAGAACATTACTAGTCATTGTATTTACTAGCGTTAAATTGTATTCTGTGTTCTTTTTAGCTTCTTCCAGCATGAGTGATGCCACCCCTATGTGTATTTGTCCTTGTGGTTCTACTTCAACGAGATCACAAAGTACTTCCTCACTATATCATTTAACGAGTAGTGCAATCAGTACATCCAGCACCTCTGACCAGAGTCCTCCATCTTCCTACATCTTAACGACCGCTGCAACCACTACATCACAAAGTATTCCGTTGCCATATGATTCAACGAGTGGTGCAACCATTACATCCAGTACTTCTGGCCAGAGTTCTCCATTCTCCGACAGCTTAACGACCGCTGCAACCAATACAAGTAGTGCCTCTGCCTCTTTGAGCTCCTCTGTATGTTATTGTCCCTGCAGCACCACATCTTCGACATCTTACCTGTCGTGTAAGTATACGTATTGAAAGAGATTAGCTCACAGCCAGTTTGCTTTTTTGCGGTTTTTTTCGCATCTGATTGGTAACTACACAATTGACTAGTTAAAATAAAATTGAAGTGTTCACGATTTTATGACTTTCACAGTAAAAAGTTGGCCCACTTTTTTAGTAAAAGAACGTAGTTTATTTGTCGTAATGGACATTTTATTCGCGTGGCCCGATGTACGTATATTAATGAGGGCTTTTTAAGGCGGCTTCAGAACATTAATAACAATCACATCACGTAACAATATCTTAGTTCTCATCTATGTCGCCGTCTGTAACCGATGCAAAAGTGTCTAGCCAATCACACATAACATATCAGCCAGTGTGTCTGTTACCCCAGCTCTGTCTCTGGCAACAAGTGCGTCAGCAGTTGCAAAATTNTTCTCTCCTCACTTTATAAAAATTGCTTGAGAACATTACTAGTCATTGTATTTACTAGCGTTAAATTGTATTCTGTGTTCTTTTTAGCTTCTTCCAGCATGAGTGATGCCACCCCTATGTGTATTTGTCCTTGTGGTTCTACTTCAACGAGATCACAAAGTACTTCCTCACTATATCATTTAACGAGTAGTGCAATCAGTACATCCAGCACCTCTGACCAGAGTCCTCCATCTTCCTACATCTTAACGACCGCTGCAACCACTACATCACAAAGTATTCCGTTGCCATATGATTCAACGAGTGGTGCAACCATTACATCCAGTACTTCTGGCCAGAGTTCTCCATTCTCCGACAGCTTAACGACCGCTGCAACCAATACAAGTAGTGCCTCTGCCTCTTTGAGCTCCTCTGTATGTTATTGTCCCTGCAGCACCACATCTTCGACATCTTACCTGTCGTGTAAGTATACGTATTGAAAGAGATTAGCTCACAGCCAGTTTGCTTTTTTGCGGTTTTTTTCGCATCTGATTGGTGGCTACACAATTGACTAGTTAAAATAAAATTGAAGTGTTCACGAATTTATGACTTTCACAGTAAAAAGTTGGCCCAATTTTTTAGTAAAAGAACGTAGTTTATTTGTCGTACTGGACATTTTATTCACGTGGCCCGATATACGTATATTAATGAGGGCTTTTTAAGGCGGCTTAAGAACATTAATAACAATCACATCACATAACAATATCTTTGTTCTCATCTATGTCGCCGTCTGTAACCGATGCAAAAGTGTTTAGCCAATCACACATAACATATCAGCCAGTGTGTCTCTTACCCCAGCTCTGTCTCTGGCAACAAGTGCGTCAGCAGTTGCAAAATTGACCAGTCAGGGTGATTTCATCTCGTTCAGTTCCCGACGTACTTTAGTCAAAACGCTTCCTCGTCAAAGAGAAAGTCGTTAACCTTCTCCCTTTCTCTCTTCTCTCCTTACTTTATAAAAATTGCTTCAGAACATTATTACCCGTCACACTTAGTGTTAAATTGCATTCATTCTGTGTTCTTTTTAGCTTCTTCCAGTATGAGTGATGCCACCCCTATGTGTATTTGTCCTTGTGGTTCTCCTTCAACGAAATCACAAAGTACTTCGCTGCTATATCATTCAACGAGTAGTACAATCAGTACATCCAGCACCTCTGACCAGAGTTCTCCATTCTCCGACAGCTTAACGACCACTGCAACCAATACAATCAGTACCTCTGCCTCTTTGAGCTCCTCTGTATGTTACTGTCCCTGCAGCACCACATCTTCGACATCTTACATGTCGTGTAAGTATGCGTATCAAAAGAGATTAGCTCACAGCCAGTTTGCTTTTTCGCGGTTTTTCTCGCATCTGATTGGTAGCTACACAATCGACAAGTTCAAATAAAATTAAAGTGTTCCTGGTTTTTTGACCTTTAGAGCAAAAAGTTGGACCAGTTATTAGTAAAAGGTGGTAGTTTATTTGTCGTAATCGCTATCTATTTTTCAATTCTTTCATTAACGAAGGTTACGAAATCTGTGAACAGGGGTCTTTTTTCGTGTTGTCCTGAGTTAATGTAAAGAAAATATTTCCCAATTATGATCAGGTGATTTAGGGTTAAACCGGACGATGTGTTTTTTAAAGCACCATAGATAATTTTGTTTTGCTCCAAAGCAATGTTTCTGCTACATGTAGCGTTGTACCACTTTGTAAGTTCATTCCAAAAGGATTTAGCAATTGGACATTCCAAGAATAAATAGAGTGGTGTCTGATCAATGTCATGGCAATAAGGACAGTTGGGTTGCTGCTTCTGTTTCATCTTACACAGAATTGTATTTGTATACAGGATATTATGAACTAGTTTTCGTTGAAACACGGATATTTTTACTCCGTTTGTGACACGAAAAGGAAGTAAATAGATTTATAATAATAATTGTCTTTCTTGAAAGATAAAGCCGTGTTCAATGAGTCTTCTCTCTGCAGTTGGAGGAGGGAAGTGCTAGTGATTGAGAAATGCATTGTAAATTGTTTTGCACGTAAGCTGTTCTAGTGCAAGTGGTAGGTATTCTGTTGAGGGTAGAAGACATCCCTGCTCTAGAATAGTTTTCTATTTCTGTGGCATGCAGCCGGAAGGCTGTAATAGTGTGGAAAATTACTCTTGACGTTGTATTTCTGCATGAAAGTTTTAATAGGCATCAATGTGCTACTTTCGTTGTCGAAAAGGCACGAGAGTTTTTCAATGCCGACTTTTTTCCAACCAGGGGAATAAACTGATTATGCCATATTATTTGATTTAGCACGTCTCCTTTTGTTTTCGGGTTAGTGCTATTAGTTTTCTGCCAATGGGAAATTACCACGTGCATAAGCTTCCCGTCATAGGCCGATAAATGGATTCGTTTTCCAGAGTATAATAAGCATGTACACCTAGAGTTTCCTATGTTAGTGTAAAAACACACAATCTACAATCGATTATAATTAAGTTTCGGGGGAAAATGTTTAGGGGATCATAAAAGTAAATATATACCAAGCTTGACATCACTTCTGGGAGGTTTTGGATTCGGAAAAAAATATTGTGTCTTTCCTCCAGATGAGTAAGCATAGCATAGCATAGCATAGCATAGAATATCATTGCATGGAATAGCATAAAATCGCACGAAAACGAATCTTATGTCATGCTATAACTGTAGTGCGGCAAGGCACAGCATAGCATTGCATGCAGAGTCTGGCCTATCATAACCTTACCTTCATAGAAATGAACAAACAATCTATAATGACCGACTATTACGACAAAAAAATAGCTAGCATTGTAATATAATCATTGCTACGGTCATGCTGGCAATTCTTATAACGTTTAACGTTAGTGACCCCAAAATTTAGTCTCAATAACGTTAATGATTTGTTCTGTTATTTTGTCTTTACCTTAGCTACAGTAATTGCTGTGCAATCCACTGTAGGTAAGTTCATTCTTCATTTAAAACATTGTCTCATTATCTACATACGTATTCGTGTAATTAAAAAAGACTCCCAAGTACCTGATATATATTCACATTTTTCTTATTGTTTTTCTCTTGTTAGCTACAACAACTCCAGCTCCAACAAGTGAGTAGTATTAATATCAGCGTAAGGGTTCTATTTCACTTCTGTTAGTATATTTAAATGATGATTTTATAAAGACTCTGCGTGAGGCAAAATGAATCAGGTATCATGTGTATGCAGACGCCTTGAGGCCATTATCGAGCGTTAATTGAAAGGACAAGAAAGTTCGCAGTGTGGCTTTCCACATTTTTAGGTGACTATCTCGTGCAACAAGCAATATAAACAAATATTATAGCAATTACCAGTTTCACCAGCTAAGTCTTACTGATATAGCACAAGCCAATATTAGAATAAAAGGATAGGGATCAGTGGCGGATCTAGGGGAGCCCCCTCTCCCCCTTATTTTCGGTGAAAAAAGAAGAAATGACTGAAGGACGAAAAGCTGGCAGGGCAAGTGAAACAAAACCGGGCTCCCCCCTTACCTCAAAGTCTGGATCCGCCTGGGGGATGTAACAACGACAACGGCAACTAAAAAGCAACTAAGCAAGCGCCATAGCTCAAGCAGTTCTTTAAACTACAGTAAATACTTGTGTCGGACACATATAAACTTTTTAAGTTTGATTTTGACAGACAGCTGAATCATTGAAGCCGCTCCAAGGGAGAACAATATGTATCCATGCAATTTTAGTTGATGCTACGATAATGTTTCCAAAAATGTACTAAACATGTTGTGGCCATCTTCGTGACGGTTGCCGCCACAACAGTACAACCGGTTGAAACGCCCTTGATTTTAGATCTACGAGATTTTTTCCGATAAAGACATGTCATGTGACCCCTCCCCCACCCCCACCCACTCTGGGTTAGTGTCGAATTGTGATTAGCATGTTTGAACATACTAATAATGAAACTTTGTTCCAAGTTTAAACAAATTGTAAGAGGGATATTGGAGCCATCTTCATGTTGTGAAACCACTCCAATATTTATTAAACTTGTTATAAAGTGGAAACTGTTGGAATTATTGCGCGTTTAAGGCACACCGTCCACTTAAATATACAAACCAAAATTTCTCGTTCTTTGATTTTCCCTATACATACTATGGAATTGTTTGACGAAAGAGCGGCAGTATTAATCCATCAAAGTAGAAGTGCTGAAATATGCTGGAAACGGTTGCCAGCCAGCTAATGAATTAAAAAGTTCGATACTGTACTGCTATCCTGCAGGAAGAAGGCGAAACAGACGATCTTTGTTTGTTTCACCTCACATAACATTGCATCTATGCTTTTGCCGGTAAGACAAGGTGCGAAGGAAAAAACCCTGAATCAGAATGCTATTATTCGCGTTTTTGATAAATATAAATATATAAGATTTACTAAAAGTCATGTTTAAGAGTATTTCAATTCATGGATTTTTATAAAAGGAGAAGCAAGTAGAATCAAAATACATAATGGTCTATTCTACTGAAAAGACAATTCTAGTTTGTCCATTTCTTGTTCGTGAGATAAAGGGAAATCAACTGGCGTTCGAAAATATTTGATTTTAACTCCAATTGTGTTTCAATTGCAGTTGTATTAGAAGTGACAATCGATGGAAATCAAACAGAGTTTGTAACGATAGGGGACAATATGCAGCTGACCTGCCGGTATAATGCTTCACCACCAGTGTCTGAAGTACTGTGGAAAATAAATGGGACTGTTATAGCACGAAATACAAGTGTGGAGATAAATGACTCAAGAATAACTATTCCACATTACAATGAAACCCAACTTCAGCTGAAAATTCTTAACACTACCTCACAAGATGCTGGAAATTACACCTGTGATGTTGCAAATGGTGTTGGCAACTCATCCGATACGATTGCAATTGTTATTGAAGGTGTGTTTTAGAGTACAGAACCAATTATTCAATAGGCTCATTCCTTGCACTCATGTTTGTGTCTCTGAGGGTATTTATGTTGTGTGTCTATATTATGCGAAATTAGTGGTAGTCTAAACATATCATATATACTCTGACACGGGATTACCATCCATTAGGATTATCAAGAGCCACTGTGTCGCAACTGTTAATGTAAATGATTTCATGACTGTACGCGAGGTACAATGAATGATATCATGTGTAAGTAAATACCTTAAAGACGGTGCCTACTAAATACAAAGGTTTTTGCGTCAGGTTAGGACCATGCGGAAAAAGTAGATCTTTTCAAGGGCTATTGGAATCCACAAAGAAAACTGCGGGTAGCCATGCATTTTTTCGAGATAATTAGCCTTGAATCTCAACAAAAATGCTGACATCAGCATTTTTCTGAAAAAAGAAGAAAAGAATATTTCCCCAGAGATTTCCTTAGAATACACCTTTGCATACAGAAAAGCAAACACATTTATAAAGGCCTTAAAACTGTATGGTAAATGGCAACATAAAAACCATTTGTAATATGTTTTTAATAATAAAATCGTTGCAACAAAGCTCTTAGCGTCTCTGACAGCCTTCCTCGGGCTCAGCTGAAATACAG